TTACTTATTAAAAAGTATGGCTAGCCAGATGCCAATGGCTCACATGTATAATCCTAGCTATTCAGGAGGCTGAGATCTAGGATCACAGTTCAAAACCAGCTTGGGTAGAAAAGTCCATGAGACTTTGATCTCCAAAAAACTACTCAGAAAAAGCAGGAAATGGCACTGTGGCTCAAGTGGTAGAGTGCTAGCCTTGAGTACAAAAAAGGGTCAGGGACAGCACCCAGGCTCTGAGTTCAAGCCCCAGGACTGACAGAAAAAAGTTTGACTAAAATGTCAGTTACCAAAAATGAAAGAACTCAGGAGATAATGTAAGGTCACCAAATAGTCAAAAGCTAAACAATATTCAATATACTTTTTCAGTCAGTCACACTATCTACAAGTAGTATTGTTTTCTTTTTTGGTGAGATCACCAAGGAAATTATCAAATGACTTGAAGCAAAAAAAAAAAAAAAAATTGGAAAACCAGACACTGGTGGCTCATACATGTAATCCTAACTGTTCTGGAAGCCAAGTCATAAAGGATTTGGATTGAAGCCATGCAAGGCATTAACATTTACATCATCTCCAATTAGCCACTAAAAAGCCAGGCTGTAGATGCTGCTCAAGTGGTAAAGCACCAGTTGTGAGCAAGCAAACCAAGGATATGCAATTCCTAAAGTTCAATCCTCATTATCAGCACACAAAAACAAAAGGACAAACTTAAGATGTATAAAAATAAGTCTGTAATTACATATAACTTAAGCATAGGATATGATGAAAATGTATATTCTCTGATTTAAAAGAAAAGGTCTAAAGGCTTAGAGAAAAAAATGTTAGCATTGAAAATTTTAGAGCATTCGGTCATATTAAAGAACCAGTTTAGTATTTTTTATATCTGATAAATGAAAATAGAATTTACTTCAAGTCATATTTGTCATTTGAGGACAAATATGAAGTCAAAAAATGAGTTACATCCACTGACACTAAAAGCCAAACTCTTTTTTGAGGAAAATAATCTAGTCCCACTATAATTAAAGAAAGCCTGCATACACACTGGGCAGTTTCCTCAAAAGTTCCATATTAGATTTTGTTTCTATGAAAAAAACAAACTATGTGATCCCACCCACAAAGAAACAAGAGAAAAACTTCTAGAACATTGCTAGGATAAAATAAGTATTCCTTAACAAAAAATAAAAGTAATGTGAGGGTTGGGAATGTGTCTTAGTGGTAGAGTGCTTTCCTAGCATGCATGAAGCCCTGGGTTCAATTTCTCAGTACCATGTTAACAGAAAAGGCCAGAAGTAGCACTGTGACTCAAGTGGTAGAGTGCTAGCCTTGAGCAAAAAAAAAAAAAAAAAAGAAGAAGAAGAAGAAGCTCAGAGACAACACCCAAGCCCTAAGTTCAAACCCCAGGACTGGGGGAAAAAACTCAACTTTCAGGCAAATAGTGATAGTAAACTGGATTTTTTATTCTCAAAATCACAACTGTAATACTTTTTCTATAAAATATATAAAGAATAGTCCAATGATAATGATCCTCACCACTAATATTATTAAAGTTTAACACACTATTCCAGTACTGAGCTTAATTAACAGTACAAGTACCAAATGAAAGTCTTAAGCTGGGTATGGTAGCTCCCACTTGCTGTCCTAGCACCTTGGGAAATGAACACAGAAGTATGGAAATTTAAGACCAGGTTAGGTAGGTAGATAGATAAATAATGCTTTATGTTAAGTAGCAAGTTTATTTCTACTAAAGTATTTGACATGTGGTTAATCACCTCAAAAGCTACCAAGGTTTTATTTTTTTATATCATAGGTATAAAATAGCTATAAAATCTTTCCTCCAACTGTCACACAATTTTTAAGTATATTAGTTTGGGAAATTAAAAGTATTTACTTTCTTCATTTCAAGAATGTTAAACTTCTGGGCTGGGAAGGTGGCTCAGTGGTAGAGCACTTGCCTTGCATGCTCAAGGCTCTGGGTTTGATTCCTCAGCACCACATAGGCAAAAAGAAAAAAGCCGGAAGTGGCATTGTGGCTCAAGTGGTAGAGCACTAGCTTTGAGCTGAAGAGCTGAGGGACAGTGCCCAGGCCCAGAGTTCAGGCCCCATGACCGGACCCAAAAAAAAAAAAGAATGTTAAACTTCTTTGGCTATAAACTCGTCTCTATATGTCAATTCTAACAAATTCATGAGTGCTTGTGAAAAGTGGCATTTTAGTTAAAATTAAGTGCTTGACCAAGAAAAAGTTTTACACAAATTTATTGTGTCCAAATAATAGTTAAGCATTTGAAACAATACACTATTTTACCTCTCCTGAAATATCAACAGTGAAATGTATTACAATACTACTAAAGGACAAAGCTGACGAAATGTATACATAATTTATACACAATTACACAATTGTGTACAAATTCACAATTACAACATTCCCACTACCAAAATATATCCCACTCAAAAATATGAAATCACAAAAAATGCCAATACTTAGTAATGATCAACAAATTTTAAAAGTTGCTTAGTGCATATTCAACAATTCTCAAATACATCACCTATATTAAAATAATGCAAGTACATAATGGATACCCATCACGATGCAATAACTCATGCATAGTATATAGCTCTTTGGTATAGTGGATATTAAACAAGTCATTAATTGTATATTTTGTAAAAGTGAACATAAAGAAAGACACACAAGAAAAACTCATCTCCTCTCAAAGGCAGTCAACAATGTTGTAGGGTTTTTTTTAACTTAAATACAAGATGGAATTAGAGATACTTTCCAATAAAATGCTTATCAATTACAGAAAGGATTAAAGTGTTATATTTTGACAAGCTGTAACAAAAAACTTATACCTTTACAACATTCTTATTTGGTGGCTAAATAAGAAAAATCATCTCTCACAGTTAAATAAAGACAGAATGTTTGAATATGATTAACACTACCAGTAACTAAATATTTAAGGCTCCAAAATGCATAGGAGAGTTTTTGTAAATGAAGAATAAAAGCATCTTTAAAAAAGAATCAAACTCTCAAGTCTTTCAGATCTAGCTGTGATGGTCTACTTTAAAAAAAAACCGGGAATGTGGCTTAATGGTAGAGTGCTTGCCTAGCATGCATGAAGCCCTGTGTTCAATTTCTCAGTACCACATAAACAGAAAAAAAGCCAAAAGTGGTGCTGTGGCTCAAGTGGTAGAGCACTAGCCCTGAACAAAAGCAGCTCAGGGACAGTGCCCTGGCCCTGAGTTCAAACTCCAGGACTGAGGGGGAAAAATCCAGATGAATAAATATGCTTTCAGTACTCTATACTGGATGCCATTCATATCCCATAAAACAATGAAACATATATTTATCAAGTAAATAGGAAAGTAAAAGGGGCTGGGAAGGTGGCTCAGTGGTAGAGTGCTTGCCTTGCATGCATGAGGCCCTGGGTTCGATTCCTCAGCACCACATAAACAGAAAAGGCTGGAAGTGGCCCTATGGCTCAAGGGGTAGAGCTCTAGCCTTGAGCTGAAGAGCTGAGGGACAGTGCCCAGGCCCAGAGTTTAGGCCCCATGACCGGCAAAAAAAAAAAAGGAAAGTAGAAGGTGAGTGTATGTTGAAAATTGAGTTTTATTTAAGTGTAATCTAGATATGGATATGGTCTGTCAGCTTAATGAAAATATTGTTTACTAGCAGAAGAATGATCTATGAAACAAGTGAAAGCTATTAGTATCACCAAGGTACAAAACAGTGCTAGAGTTTTCAACTTAGCCCATAGCATATGTAATTCAGTTAATATCTCACAAAATTATAACAAAAATTACAGGTGTATTTCCATGTTTTCCTAATACTAGCACTTACTGTTAGGAACAGATGTTTACTCTAGTGTTCTTTATGATTTATCATTGACATTTCAGTGATAAAATTTGAGAAAATTCCATCCAACCATTTCACATTAGACATAAAAACAGGCTGGGCCTCTGTATGGTATTTTCACAATAAAAATAAATAAACAAAAAAAAAACAGGCTGGGAATGTGGCTTAGTGGTACAGTGCTTGCCTAGCGTGCATGAAGCCCTGGGTTTGATTCCTTGCTACCACAGAAACAAAAAACGCTAGAAGTGGTGCTGTGGCTCAAGTGGTAGAGTGCTGGCCTTGAGCAAAAGAAGCTCAGGGACAATGCCCAGGCCCTGAGTTCAAGTCCCAAGACTTGCCAAAAAAAAAAAAAAGAAGAAGAAGATACTTGCCCAAGATCACACAGTTATACAAATGTTAGAAAATTAGAAGTCAATTACCTCTATTCCCAGTATTTCAATTCAATATACTGTACCTACTACCTTCTTATTGAAGATGATGAGTCCTATACTGTAAGAGCTGGGGTGTGGTAGAATGATTAGTGAGTACAAGGCCCAGTTTAAATCCCAGTACCATCAAAAAGCAAAGGTCTCTACAGTTATATGGATACTATACTAACAGGAGATGTTTAAAATATATGGGAAAATGTCTTGGTTTTACTCTCTAATACCTTATTTTTTTCTCCACTATGACAGAGATGTATCTAACTTCTCTGTCACCCTTGCTTTATTTTTCAGTATCTGAGTGATCACTTATTTTGCTCTCAACAGATCTTCATGAGATTACCATAGTGAAGGACAATTAGCAATAATCAAATATGAAGAGATGTCTTTTGTCACCAATTTATTAATAGGATTCACTTTCATCCAAAAATTAATCTGAAAATAATAGTCTGAAAAAATTATCACAGTTTCCATGGAAACACATAATTGACAGTTCTGAACTTATAACACACCCTATGCTAGGTGTGTTAATACTGGCAATGACTTTCTCTTAAGGTTTCTGAGTTTTAGCCCAATTTCTGGCCTTTCTTTCCAACTTGCAGGAAGGCTGGGAGTGAGGCTTTCTAAGGCAGGCTCTCCTGATTTTTACAACCAACTTGTTCCGGTGTTGTGGCTTGCGCCCACGCCTAGGGTGTGTTATAATCTTTTTAAAGTCCTTACAGATGGAATCATACCTATTCTCAGGGTCATTGTCGTCATCGTCATCATCCACTGTGACAGGCACTGATTTAGATATGGCTTCATCTCCTTAGAGGGGGAAAAAGTGTACTTAAAATTAGTTTGAAATTATCTGTGTGAGTAAAACCATTTAAAATAAAAACAAGCCAACAATTTTTGAACAAGCTAATGGGTTTTCAACACTACTCTGAAACCAAAACCATGACTGAAGGCAGTGGTGACAGAAAGCTTAATTGGCAATACAGTGATCCCTTGCCTATGGCAGGAGTTATGTTACAGAGACCCCCAATAGATCAAAATCTTCGAAGTAGTAGCATTAGATAGTTGTCCACTCACTGTATCCTGGTTCACTTATTGCTACTTCGTGGATTTTCACAAATTGTGGGGGTGTCTGGAATGTAGCTCCCACAATAGGTGAGGGATCACTACCCACGATACAGTGAAACCGCAAAAAGTAAACCACGATACGGTGAGGGATGACTGTATATGAAGTAGCAGCAGTAAAATGATAAAATAGGCCTGTTATATTTCTAGGTTCCCTCCCACAGCACAAGGGTTTTAAGCTCAACCTTCTTAGGAACAATTCAATTGCTATCATTAACACAGATGTTTTTGGTGCAGTCACCTTTGTATCACTCATTGCTAGTTTGAAGTTAACAGGTGTCTAACTGTATCACAGCCAAATTGCTCTTAATGTTTTGGTATAAGTAATTGAAAAATGCATTTAATTCTTATGATATCCATAACTTAAGATACACAGACATAACCAAGTATAATAAAACTTATTTTCTAATCAAAAGTTCCATTTCTAGTAGGACATGGTAGCTCACCTTAGGTACTCAGGAGGGAGAGACCAGGAGGATTATGGTCTGAAGTCATTCCAGGCAAAAAAAAGTATGTTTCCCTACCCCATCTCAGCCAATTTAAAAACAAAGGGTGATACTGCACACCTGTCATTCCAGCTATGCTCGGGAAGAATAAACAGGGTAACTTTGGCCTAATCTGCCCTGGGAAAAAACACAAGACTTTATCTCAAAAAAAAAAAAGGCAAAAAGGACTGGAGAGGGCATGGATTAAGTGATGGAGTACCTGCCTGGCAAGCACAACACACAGAATTCAAACCCTATTTGTACTGAAAAAGTAGAACAATTTCATTTCTATTCTTTGTTTTTAAATCTAAAGAGAAGACTGTGGAGGCGAAGGATAATAGGGCATTTGCCTAACATGCCCTAGGATCAAAGCCCAACACTGACCAAAAGAAAAGGCAAGAAGAGTAGGACTTGTCCATTTCATTGTATATAAACTTTACCTCAAAAGAAAACCAAAGTAAAATATTTAGCTCCAGTGAATACTATGCATGTTGAAGGATTTAGGAAGAAGTGTATTGGTGGTTTAGCATTTACTCAAATGTACTAAAGCTGTCAAGAGCATTACTGAGAAAAAAGAAAAACAGACTATCTCAAAATATTACTTCATGATCATCCATCTCAAATAACAAAATCACAGTCAGGTATTACCAGCTCTCAGAATTAGTAATGGAGATAAGAAAAGAGATGTGTAAAGGAAAGACAAGTTTTGTGATAATGCAACAGTTTGGTGTCTTTGATGTATGGTGTTGCTGCAAAGCTACACAGATGATACAACTGCAGAGAAGTACATACACAGGAATGAATGCATATAAACTACTGAAATCTAGACAGGTGTGCTCACACATCCCTGAAATCTAAGCATTTGGGAGATAGAAGCAGGACTGGGAGCTAAAGGCCAGTTTGGGCTACATGTAAAATGCACTATCATCGGACTTGTACAGTAAAATCACTTCTCAAAAATAAAGAAAAAATAAATGAATAGTCAGTATTTATTTATTAATTTTTTTTTGTCGGTCATGGGGCTTGAACTCTGGGCCTGGGCGCTGTCCCTCAGCTCTTCAGCTCAAGGCGAGCGCTCTACCACTTGAGCTACAGCACTTCCAGTTTTCTGGTGGTTTATTGGAGATAGGAGTCTCACGGTCTCTCCTGCCCGGGCTGGCTTTGAACCGCGATCCTCAGATCTCAGCCTCCTGAGTAGCTAGGATTACAGGCGTGAGCCACCAGTGCCCGGCAGTCTTTATTTTTTTAAAAAAAAAAGCTATTCAAGGGGCTGGGAAGACAGCTCAGTGGTAGAGTGCTTGCCTTGCATGCCTGAGGCCCTGGGTTCGATTCCTCAGCACCACATAAGCAAAAAGAAAAAAGCCAGAAGTGGCGCTGTGGCTCAAGTGGTAGAGTGCTAGCCTTGAGCTGAAGAGCTGAGGGACAGCACCCAGGCCCAGAGTTCAGGCCCCATGACCGGACCAAAAAAAAAAAAAAAAGTTATAGAAGGACAAAAATGAGCTACCCTGTCAGGCACCAATGACTCATGCCCATATCTTAGCTATTTGGGAGTTTAAGACCTGAGAATCTTGGTTTGAAGCCAACCCAGGCAGGAAAGTCTATGAGACTCTTATCTATAATTAACCACCAAAAAGCCAAAAGTGGAACTGGGCCCCAAGCCTTGAGCAAAAAAATGTCCAGGGGCAGTACACATGCCCTGAGTTCAAGCCCCAGGACTAGCACAAGAAAAAAGCAACAATAAAATTCACAGTATTCCATCAAAATTTCTCATCGAAACAGACTAATCTTCAAATGAAACATTATTAGTAATGTTACTGTCACTCCACTGTGATTCCACCTTCCAAAATTTGACCTAAACTTCAAAGTTCAAACACAACTTGTTCTCTTAGCTTTTCCCTGAAATATTTCATAGCTTACTCCATTTATCACACATCCCCACTGTAGGTTTTTGTTTTTGTTATTCTGCCAGTCCTGGGGTTTGAGCTCAGGGCTTGGGCAATGTTCCTGAGCTTTTGTGCTCAAAACTAGCACTCTACCACTTGAGCCACAGCTCCACTTTCAGTTTTTCTGGTGGTCACTTGCAGGTAACAGTCTCACTGACTATTCTGCCTGTGCTGGTTTCAAAAAAGGATCTTTGAATCTGTCTCCTGAATCGCTAGGATTCCAAGTATGAGCCATTAATGCCTGACTGCAAGTAAATTTTTAAAGAATGTCATTTATCATTGGCTCACACCCAAGATTATCTATGAAAAACAGTACTTATTATATAATGCTTATTTTCAAGGCCTTTCATATTCAACTCAGCTTAAGTATTTCTACTGGAAAAGCCCAGTTTTTGATTGGCAAAACTCAGCAAATTTATCTTCCACTTTTCATCCAAAGTAATCTATGTAGTCCCAAGAAATAGCTAAAGAACCATCCCCCAAAAATAATATTTGTGCTTCCAAACACATCAAAGACTGGCATCTAATGAAGTCAAGGTTTCTCTGCATACACAGTCAAGAAATAGTTTACCACCTATTCCACCCATTGGCCCTTCATATCCAGGTTACAAATATCAAAACAGAACACAATAATCTACAAATTTGTGTTGGGTAAAGGATAAGAGAGGACACATTCTTTGAGTATTTGCCATCTGTTATCATCTTTGCTTAAGGTCTAATTAAAGGATATTACTTATTAAATAAAGTATTTATAAGTCTAAACATGAAAGGTATACCACAGAAACTTTTATATATGTCAAATAAGAGCACAATGAAAATTACTAACATATTTGAAATCAAGTATGTTGATTTCACCAGGAAACTGTTTATTAACCAACATTCTAAAATTTAAGGTTAGTTTAAGATTAATTATAAAATTTAAGGTTATTTCAATTACCATTTGCCAATGGGAATATCCCATACAATTAGGAAAATTTATTATTTTTATATTCCAAGCCTTAAGGTTTATCACAACTAATCTGATAACTAAAAGATTATCAAAGTAACTATTAAATTCTGTGTTTAAATTACAAAAATGAAAAGATTGTTATCAAAGTAACTATTAAATTCTGCGTTTAAATTACAAACCCACAACCATTTACACACAATTCTGAAATTCAAAACATTTTCAGAATTGGAAATTTGCATAAGATGGTACAAAAGGTCATTTGGCAACAAAACCTGACCTTAACTGCTATTGTCCAAGTGTGAATGTTCTTTAAGAACTTTATTGTTAGAATAGCCATGTAGGTAAAGCCCCATACCCAGCATCAACCAATTCAAATCCCACTTGGTTTTTAAATAAAATATGTGCTCAGTAAAAGAAATTTGTAGCTTTGTTGTTTCTCTTTGTGTGGGTGCAATGCCTAAGCTTTTGTGTTCAAGGCTGGCATTCTACCACCTGAACCTTAGTCTATTTTCAGCTTTTTGGTGGTTAATTGGAGAAAAGAGCCTCATGGATTTTCCTGCCCAGGTTGACTTCAGTGATCCTTAGATCTCAGATTCCTGAGTAGCTAGGATTACAGGTTTGAGTCACTAGCACCTGACTTATATTACTCTTCCCTGACCCCCATTTGTCCTGCTCCTTCTTTTGAACAATTTTAACTGGGTTTCATTATGTTGCTTTCATACATTTATGATAAAACTGTCTCTGAAAACACTGCCAGGCACCGGTGGCTCACATCTATACTCCTAGCTACTCAGGAGGCTGGGATCTGAGGATCATGGTTCAAAGCCAGCCCAGGCAGGAAAGTTTGTGAGACCCCTATCTCCAATTAATCACCAGAAAACCAGAAGTGGTGCTGTGGCTCAATTGTTAAAGGGCTCGCCTTAAGCTGAAGAGCTCAGGGACAGTGCCCAGGCCCAGAGTTCAAGCCCCACGACTGACAAAAACAAACCAAGAGTCCACACAGGCAAGTCCATGAGACACTTATCTCCAGTTAACCACCAGAAAACCAAAAGTGTTGCGTGGCTCAGAATGGTAGAGTGCTAGCTTTGAGCAAAAGAGTTCAGGGATAGCGCCCAGGCCCCGAGTTCAAGTCCCAGAACTGGCCCAAAAAAAGGGGAAGGGAAGAAAAGAAAACATTGTGGTTGGTAAAATTTTACCAGGTTACCCAAACTCTACTCTGTCTCACCAGAGTACAGTAATCCTTTCACTTTTGTCATTTCCTTTCTTGTGTCATTTTTTAAAATCTTTTCATCCTTTATTTCAGTAGGATTTTTTAAAAATACCTTTTCCTGTCAAGTGGTGTTGAAGCTTAGAGTGGTAGAGTACTAGCCTTGAGCAAAAAAAAAAAAACCCTCAAGGACAGCCCCAGGACTGAAAAAAAGAATATTTCAGACAACCAGGTACTAGTAGCTTACCCCTGTAATCCTAGCTATTTAGTAGGCTGAGATCTGAAGATTATGGCTCACAGCTAGCCCAGCAGAAAAGTCTGTGGGTCTCTTATTTCCAATTAATCACTGAAACGCCAGAAGTGGAGCTGTGGCTTAAGTGGTAGAACACTAGACTTGAGCGAAAAAGCTGAAGAACAGTACCCAAGCCCTGAGTTCAAGTTCCAGGGTCAGCATATACTCAAAGAAACCTTTCAGACATCATGTTAGTACTAGTATCAAGTGCTCATTGCAATTATGTGGGTAAATACTTAATAAACTACTGGCATCAGTTTCATTTTCAAAATCTACTGCACATTATCACAGAAAAAAATCATTAAATATAGACAAGGAAATGTTATTACTTATCCAACAAAGCTGATATGCCTAACGCTGAATACAAGCAACGTTTAAAATTCCTTCAAAGGATGGCAGAAAAATAAACAAAATACATGAATGTAAGAGGGATACTGTTGGAGAAGGAATCCAGCAAGGTGGGGGAAGGGAAAAGACAGAGGTAAATATGATCAAAGTATAGTGTATACACGTATAGAAATATCACAATGTAATCCCTCTGTACAACTCCTATGTGTGAATAAAAACAAATGAGTAAATAAAGAAAGACTTGATAGTGAGTGCCTGAATAATTTTAAATGGACTTTTTCTGAATGGTCATCCTGAATTTGATTGGATTTGAGGAAAATTAAATAATGTATTTGAGAGGACAGGGTTACAAATTCTATGAGCTTTAATGTATTTTTGCATACCTGAAGATTGGCAAAATCCAGTGTGGGAAGAAGACAGGACTAAATTCTCAGTCACAGGCTTAATTTTCTGTTCATCACTGCTCCCCTCACCAAGAGAATTCTGACCATCATCTCCTATATCTGAAGATGAGGAAGTAATCTCCATTTGCTTCCTTTTAGTACTTGCTCCTAGGGAGTTTCTCTTTTTCTCCTTGATACTGCCTGCTTTCTTTTTAGCTGAAGTTCTTGGCTTCTTCAGCTTTTTATTGTCTTCAGAACTTTCCTCAGCATCAGAAGACGATGAGCCACTTGGTATTCCCTTGGTATTTCTCTTGGAATTTAAATTTCTTCTCTCTCGCAATTCTATTCTTCTCAGCTTCTTATCCGAAGAGTCACAACCATCTTCTTTCAGGGAGTATTTCTCATCAGATGATGAACACTCTTGACTCTTCCGTGGGGCCTTTAGGGGTAACCTGCATTTTCTCTTCTCTCTAGTAGATACTCTACTCTTTGTCTTTCTGTCTTCTGAAGAGTCACAACTGTCTCCTTTCTCTGGCAATTTCTCCACACTGTCAGATAATTCTTTCTTTTTGGACATTTTATCTTTTGCTTTTCTACCTTTCTTTTCTCCATCACTTGTGTCATCCTTATTTGGTTTTATATCCTTAGGAAAATTATCAACTTCTTCGCCCTCAAGTGATTTCCCAGTGCCATCAGAGGATGACTCATACTGCTGTTCCATCTTCAATACTGTCTTCTTTGAGTCCGTAGTTTTCTTTTCTTTTTCTTCCATTTCCTTTTTGTTCTGTGTCTTATCATCTTCAGAGAGTTCATCACTGTGCTCTTTCCTGTGGACTTTCTCAGCAGCATCAGATAAGCCAATGGGTGCCTTTTTGCATGTTTTAGCTTTCAGATGCTTACTCTTTTCTTTCGTTTTAGCACCTTTTTTGTCTTCCAGAGAATTTAAACTCTCCTCTTTGCCAGGAGATGATTTGTCTGTACCATCAAAGGAAACACTGGGCTGCTGCTTCTTAGGAAGTTGATCTCTTGAGTCCACAGTCTTGTCTATCTCATTAGGACAGGAATTCTTTCTCTCTTGTTTCCTTTCAGCATCATCAGATGATCCCCCTGGGGTATTCTTCACACTTTTTGGCCTTTGTTTGGCCATTCCCTTTTTACTACGTTTTTCATCTTCAGAAGAATCATAGTCTTTTTTATTGGGAACTCTTTTTTTGGTGGTTCTGACAGCCGTAATCTTACTCATGCTTTTTATCTCTTTCTCTAATTCTGAGTCGTAATTTGAAGACTCAGACTGGTTTTGACGTTTCTTTTTAGCAATTATAGAGCTTTTAGCTGACTTGCCTTTTTTAATATCAAAATCGGAGCCAGAAGAAGAGCTTTTCCGTTTTCTTTTGCCTTTCTCATCTTTCCCTGTTTGAGTTTTTAAGTCATACAGAGTCTTATGATTTGTATGAGTTTCATTAATGTCAGTATCTGAAGAAGAACTGGGACTCATTCTGCTTGCCTGTTTCAGGATTGCTATCATTTCATCAGAATCGGAATTTTGATCTACAATCTCTGACGGCTTCGATTTAGGTAATTTGTTAGGTTTAGGATTATCAATAGCACTGTCAGAAGAATTTCTCTTATCCTTTTTTCTTAATGGACCTAATAATTTTTGTTTCTCCTTCATGGTTTCATTACTTTCTTCATCTGAATTGGATGATGGAAGATTGGTTTCTGTTGGTCGCCTCAAGGGTGTGGTCTTCACACGGGGCGATCTTCGAAGATCAGATTCCTCTAAAAGTAAAGGAACTTCATTTTCTTCAACATGCTCATTATCACTGTTTTCCTGTCCAGGTCCACATTTCTCGGATTTTAGGTTCAGTGCAGAACCTTTAGAGCCATCTTTATCTTGTGGAACTTCCTGACTATCAGCACCCTTCTTTGGGGAATTAGAAAGTGAAACAGGGGTGAGCTTCACATATAATTCTTTTGTTACTTTAGCTGAGGTAGATTTTGACTTACTACCTCCTTTGTTGTCTTTTGGCATATTTAATTTTACAGATGAAGTCTCTAGCTCTTGCTCCGTTCTACTGGTACCATCCCCACAATGATCAGCTGAATTCTGAACTTCCATAGCAGTCTCAAGATTATCAAAAATGTCTTCTGGAACTGAGGAAGGAACAGATACAATGTCCATGTCTAAGTCTTCTGAAGTGTTGGCAGGTTCATACTGCGGTTCATCTTTCCCATCGGATTTCCTATGTTCACCACTAGTACTTTTACTTGCCCTCTGCTCCTCTGTTGGAACACTCGGATCTGTGTGTCCCTCACCATCTACCTGCTTTCTTGAAGGCCTAGCTTCTGACTTGGAAAACTCTCTCTTTTCCAAAGTACAGGGTTTTTCTCCTTTTTGTACTTTTGTTTCACACTTAGCATCTGTGATTTTAAGCTCTTTGGTATATTCCTCTTTGTGTACAACATCCAAAGCTTCAATTTCCAAATTCAAATCTTCTTCTAATGCAATGTGAGCCTTCTTGATATCCGCCAACACAGATTTAAAAGCCTTAAGCTGACGTAATTTCAGAGTAGAACTGATTTCTGAATTTTCTTCACTCTGCTTCAGAAACTTAATAAAACTAGAGTTCATATTGGCTGTGGTCTCAATCAGTTTTTTTGCCTTCTTAATCATTTCTTTGGGCACTATTAGTGCTGAATAACTGTAGGTTATAGAACCAGAACATGAATCATCTAATTTCTTTTCTTCTCCATTACAACTGGAACTAATCTTCTTTGGAGAAAATTTGGGTGTGTGATCACATATTTTACTACTCTTTTCATTGTCAACTTTTATTTTCTTCTTATTTTGTTGCAACAACTGCTCTAAATTCTCAAATACGCTGTTGCATGCAGTGACCAAGTCCAACAAAGGTTCAGGGTGACAAATGTAGCAATACCACTGGTTGTTTTCATCCATTATTGTAGATAACTCCTTTCGACCAAGATTGCGCAGAATGCATTTCTTACAGAAGGCATTATGGCAAAAGTCGCAACAAATCAAGTTCCCACCTTCAGCACACCATCTGAAATATTTTAACAATTAAAATATTATTCCCAATGAAACTAATTTCAATTTCTTCATTATCAAAGAAATTTAAAAATTCTAACCAATAATTTTTTTAGTAGTCATTTAGGTCATCTGATTATTTTTTATTAAACAATTAAAACCAGACATAAAAGTCAGGCTTCACAGAAAAGAAATTATCATCCACTGAGGACATCAATGATACCATAAAAGATGGATCTACGCTGGGCTGGGCGCTGGTGGCTCACGCTTGTAATCCTAGCTATTCAGGAGGCTGAGATCTAAGGCTCACGGTTCACAGCCAGCCTGGGCAGGAAAGTCCTAAGACTCTTATCTCCAATAAAACCTACTCAGATATGGCTCAAGTGGTAGAGCCCTAGCCTTGAGCAAAAGAAGCTCAGGGACACTACCTACGCCCATAGTTCAAGCCCCAGGACAGGCAAAAAAATGGATCTAAAATATGCCTCCTCCCAAAGTATACAACACTGAAAGTTAAGTCATCTTGACTGAGTACCTACCTACATTGTTCATCCATTCCATCTGAGTCACGGCTAATATCATCACTCATGTAATACTTAAAGCAATTCTATTGAGAGAACAGAAGAAGAAATTTCATTCAAAATGACTAACACTCATAAAGGACAAAAATTTATTTTGGGGTCATTAAAAAAGTAAAAGGAATGTGTTTCAGATAATCAAACAAAAATCAGTATGGTATAGAACAGTAGCATAGGAATACCTCACCTCAATAAAGTAATCCTTTGAATGTTCTCTAGGACAAAGCACCACTGTGAGTTTTACTACATAAAAGGTTTTTTGTAGCCTAACAAAGTTCTGATCCTACACAACTAGAAACACCAAAGTCTTACTTTAAAAATGTAAATCTAAAGAAAAAAATGGACATGAATATAAATGGGGGAAGTATTACAGAGACAAACAGTAGGAGGTGGGAGGGGAAAATTAAATGGTAAGGAGAAATGAATATCATTGAAGTACATTGTATGCACCCAAGAAAAATTTATAATAAAAAGCACTTACAAGAAACAAAGAGGGCTGGGAAGGTGGCTCAGTGGTAGAGCGCTTGCCTTGCATGCCTGAGGCCCTGGGTTCGATTCCT